TTATTATAATAATAATATACCTAGTATATTATAACATGCTATAAGGCTTACCCTTATTTTTAGTACTATTTTTATTATATATAATAAAATTATTATTAGCAAACCTAATTTTATGCTTTAATTATATAAATAACTTTTACCTTAATTATATAAGTAACTTTTTTTATATAAATTATAAACTTTTAGTAAAAAATATTTATGGCATGCTAGCCTAAAAAAAATAAAATAAGGTGGCCTTTATACTTAAAAAGCTAAAAATATTTTATATTATATAAAAATAACATGGCAAATCTTTTTTACTAGTGGTTAATAACTAGCTAATAATTACTTTAGTTATTATAATACTAGGCTAAAAATAACTAGTATTATACTAGCTAAAAGTTTTTTTTAATAAATACCTTTTTTAATATTATTATATTATTAAATAGGTAGTTAAAGCCCGCGTAGTAGTATAATATATTTATAATTTTATATATATAATATATAGTTTATTAATAAACTTTTTTTATAAAATAATTATTATTTATATTATTTTTTAATTTTTTATATAGCACAAAGGTATAATATAATAATAAAATTAAGTTTAAAAAGCATGTATAAAACCTAAAGGTTAGTATTTAACTAGGCTAGCATGTTAAAGTAATTAAAAAAACCCTAGCTTTAGCCACCTATAACATACTTTTAGTTTTTTAAATAATATTTATAGTAACCCTTTTTAAAAATACTAGGCTTTTTTTTACTATAATAATATTAAAAAAAGCATGATTATAATTTATTTTAAGGCTTTAGCTAATAAATTACTAAAACTTATTAATAATATAAATAATATTACTAAAGATCTCGCGTGGCCAGGGCGCTAGTTTATACTAAAAACTTAAAATAAAAATATAAATAATAAAAGTGCTTTTTTTAAAGATTTTTAGGCTAGTTTTAATATATTTTTATTACTTTTAAAAATGCTTAAAAAATCCTATTAATAATAAGGCTAAAAAGCTAGCTATAAAAAAATTTAAATAATAGTAATAAGTATTATTAATAATAAAAATAATAATTTTTAGTAATAGCTTTAAATAAATATATTAAGGGATTTACTATATAAGCTATAGCTTTATAGTATACTATAAATAATACTTTTAAGTATAAAAATTATTAGTAATTAATACCTAATTTTATATATATAATACTAAAGCTATTAGCATGCTTTAAAAACTAAAAATAATAATTAAAAAGCTTTTTAAAGTATTATATTACTAGCTTTATATTAATAATATTTTAATAATTTAGTACACGCGCGGGCAGCCCTTATTATTTTTAAATTAAGCCTTTTAAATATTATATTAATTTATAAATTAATATATAATTTATTTATAATAGCCCCCTAGCTATATAAATATTAAAAAAAATAAGCTAGTTAATAAGCTAGTTAATAAGGCAGCTTTTATAAAGGCATAACCTTTAAATATTAATTTTTTAAAAACTTAACCTACCATAAGTAAAATACATAACTTATATAAGTAAATATATTATATAACCTAGGCTAAGTAATAAAAAGGTATATTTATAAAATTATTTACTTAATATAAATAATAATTTATTATAAAGTTAAAACCTTATTAGGTTAAAGTATAATAAAAGTTAGTATTAAAATAATTAGTTTTATATTATTAATTAATACTTAAATTTTTATATAATAATTTTAAGTAATATTATAAATATTTTTAATATAAAAATACTAGGCTTACTTACTTTTATAAAATAAGTAAAAGCCTTAAATATTTAATTTTTTATTATTATTTTAAGTAGTACTTTTTATAATAGCCCTAGCACTTTATAATATTATTAATAATTAAAATTAAGGCCTTAAAATATTTTTATAGGCTAAAGCTTAAGGGCTTTATATTTTTACTTAAAATTATAAACTTTTATAAGTTTATTTACCCTTGCTAGGGCTCCCCGCGCCCTAGCATTATTAAAATTATTTAATTTAATATTAAATAATTTTTTTTTTATTTTATTATACTTTTTTTTTAAACATTTTTTTTAATATAATTAGCCTTAATAAAAATACTTTTTTTATAATAGGGCAGGTCCCTGTAACTTATTATAATTAAAATTTTAGGCATGTAATAAATAATACCTGCTAATAGTTATATATAAAAATAATAAATAAAAAATAGGTATCTTACTTATAAGCTTAAGTAAAAGTTACCCTTTAAAATAAAAAGCCTTTTTATATATAAATTATTTAAATAAATTACTTACCTAGCGGCGGCACGCCCCTATACCTTAAAAAAGGTTTAAAATATTAGGTGTATGCCTAGTAATCTCCGGGGCGTTAAATACCACTACTACTACTACTACCTCAACATGCTTTGTAAAGGTGACTAACCTTAAGTAGTGAGAAACCTAGATTGCAACTCTGTATCATATATTCGAGGGTTTATTATCTCCTATTTTTTCAAGGAATCTCTTGCTATAGGTGTGCACTCTTGGATATTTAGTATCAAAGAACTTTGCTGGAACTGTTTGATCCACAAGAGGTAGTAAAATATCGAGCCTGACGTTCCCAGCCCCGGGCAGCTGGGATGGCTGCCAAATCACCCTTCTATCTCATTCTTCGGTCATAGATATTAAACTTAAGGTTGCATCAAGAGATCTTCGTGCAGCAAAGCATTGACGTAAAGATCTTCTGCATGTTATTCCACTCTTATCAGCCCTTTAGGAGGTGTGATATAGTTTGAATTATAACGACAATGACTGTCTCCTGCTTTCTTCGGAATACTACCTCTGTTATGTATGACAATGTGATTGTGATGAGGTGGATAGAGAGGCTCCGTCATGCGATGATCCATGGTTTGGGCGAAGATCACGGAAGCTGAGGTGGGTCTGCCGTACGGTAGTCTTCCCGCAGACGTCACATACTCCACCTACTACTCCTTGCATACATGTTACAATGAACAACCTTCGTCGTTCACTTGATTAAACCTATTCCATGGTTCCTAACTGCAATAATTACGTCTTTGGGACGTCGAGATCCCCAGGATGCAGCCTCGAGGGTAAGGAAGGGAGGTAATCCCCAGCACATATAAACGACCCCTCCCCCTTGTCCAAAAAACAGTCTGCTCTTCTGCACATCTTCTTATTCATCATCTTCTTCTGGCTTTTTCTTACCTGTGCGGTTCATCTCCTTTACAAAGGGTTTCTCTCCTTCGTTAGGATGATGGTTCCCGCCCCATCTCTTTCGACGCTGGCTCTGCTGGGGCTCTTGACGACCCAGTCTCTGGCGCAGCTCCTTAATCCCCAGGTGCCGATTAATTTGGCGCTGGATGATGAATCGACCCAGTATTCTGTGGTCGCTCAGAACGACCCAGCCTTGCAGAGTTCCTCGCATGTAATCAGGTGCTGCTCTGCTGGATTCAAGTTCAGCAAAGGTATTTGTGTTCAGGACACAGGGTGTCACTGCCAAGGCTGTGAGTCAGGATATCACTTGGTTGGCACAGAATGTGTGCCTGATTCCAGCGACTCCACCGGTGGCTGCGGCCCTGGACGCCATCGCGATCCCAATGGAAACTGCGTGGACGATGCCGATGACGACTCCGGCTCTGGCGGCGGTGGTACTGGTGGCTGTGGCCCTGGACGCCATCGCGATCCCGATGGGAACTGCGTGGACGACGCCGATGACGACTCCGGCTCCGGTGGTGGTACCAGTGGCTGTGGCCCTGGGCGCCATCGTGATCCCAATGGGAACTGTGTTGACGACGCCGATGACTCCAGCTCTGGCGGCGGTGGTACTGGTGGCTGTGGCCCTGGGCGCCATCGTGATCCCAATGGGAACTGTGTTGACGACGCCGATGACGACTCCAGCTCTGGCGGCAGTGGTGACCCCGGCACTTGCAACCCTGGCTACCATCCTGAATACACGTGCGTGCCGAATTCAAAAACATTGATCTAGTACCACTGTTTGCATGAACTTATGAGGCACACCTGTCGGCGACTGCAAATTAAAACTAGCTAGCTCGAAGGGTCAAGGATAAAGGAGGCGTAAAAGAGGATGTCTTACGGCTTTTTGCGAAAAAACTCCATTTGGACAATTATTTGTGTTGTGTTGGGGAGGAGAATCTACCCACTCGTCACTGGAAAACAACCACCGCCTGTAATGAAGCTACATAAGCCGACTGATCCTCCAGACTAATAATACCTTCAAACGGCTGGGAAGGTGTCAGGATTGTTTTGTCTTTAAAGGGACTAAGTTACTGTTATTCTGATTAAAGAGGTGCTATTCCCTTGTAGAACTTATATCATATAGTCCAGGAAAGTAGAAAAAGAGACCAGTTCGTTGCGATATACACGCGCTGTTATAAGAGGTCACGTTTTACGCCACTAAAGGGAATATCATTATGGAAGACAGTATGAGTCATAATAATATAGTTAATAGCGCAGACACTTGCTCAGCACAAACATGGTATATCATCACTTTTATACAAAAATCAAAGTCAATATTGGAAGGCAGGAATAGTGGATCGTGGGTGCAATCTCATCTCACAAGCTACAATTTACTGCCAGCAAGGATTATTAGCCCGTCCTAGTATTGTTGGACAGAGTAAGATTACGTGTTCTGAATGTTATTTGTAGCCAGCTTCATAAAGACTTTAATAGACATACACTAGTGACTTGGTGCAACGGTAGTACCCGACACACGATACCTTACCCGGAAGTTGTGGCCGTGAATGTGCCAGATTTCCTATCTCAAAGTTAAATCCTTCCTGGCTCCGACTGAAGTTAATTCCAACTATGATCCTGGTTACACTAGGGAAGTATAGAGTAGTAACCATGACCTCATGGACTCCCCTTCTTCACCCTTAGCTCGCCTTAATTGCTCTGAAACGAGTTCCCATCCCCAGCGAGAATCAGGAATCTCTCCTACTCTCTCCCACCCTTCTTCGCCTCATTCCTCTTTGTCCAGTCTTGACCTCTACTCATTTTTACCCTTGCAAATCATTATGATGTATAAGGCAATCATCCCGATTGTACTCGGGCTATCTTCTTTTTTTCCTTCCGCCCTCGCAGACCCCACCTGCCTCTCTCCCTCGACTCCGGGGGGTGTAGCCAGCAAGAACGCCTGCTGCCCGAGCACCAGCAGTCAGGGGGAGGACCCGGTTGACGGCACTGTTTACGAATACAAGTGCGGCGCCTATGCAAAGAAAGACTACCTGTCTGGGGGGACTGCCTCCAGCGCCCTAGACTGTGCCCGGCAGTGTGCAGCACAAGCAACCGCCAGCCAACCCTGCCACGCCGCCAACTGGGGCCCGGACAATAACGAATGTCATCTATACGGCTCCGGATTCGGGCAGAGGGGCGATACCTCTGGTGACTGGATTCTCCTGGTTCGGACCGATCGTGCGGCCCAAGATTGCCAGGACGCTATTGACCAGGCAGTCGGGGTGGAGAAGGTGGACTGCCAGACCAAGTTGAACGACAAGGATTTGGACAAGACCAAAGCCGTGAATGCTGAAAAGACCGCCTGCACCAAGCAAGTCAACGATGAGAAGTCCGCCTGYACCAAGCAAGTTAATGATGAGAAGTCCGCCTGCACCAAGCAAGTCAACGATGAGAAGTCCGCCTGCACCAAGCAAGTCAACGATGAGAAGTCCGCCTGTACCAAGGATGAGAACGACAGAAAGAGCATTCTCGGCCGGAGACATTACACAGTCTACTATGATAAACGTAAGTCTTGTTGCTGCACTTCCTTCCTTATTCTTTTGTTCAGCAGGTGTGCTAAACTTAACATACTACAGAAATTGACTGGATCAAGATTAAAAACAACCTCGTGGAAGATATCGTATCACCTCATCTATGTTATGAACTCTGCGCTCTGGATTCCACGTGCCGCCATGCATATTGGCAAGGCAATTATCACTGCTACAAGATCACAGAGAACATTACCACAGCGGACCTTAGATCGGCTCCTGGGATGACTGTGCAGACTGCTATCTTTAACTAGAGAGATCGGTTACTTATCCCATCTTCTGGGAGTTGACAGCCTGGGTTGGCTAGGGCTGTAAATAGTACGGGCTGTGCTTTAAGGGAATTGTGAGTGATCTAAGGAAAACGCGAACTACTAGATCAGACCAACTGCGCACGGTGGCATGTCTTCTGTCCCAGCCATTCCTTAGCAACCTCAAATCACTTGAGAACAGACTCATATTTGAAATTATTCTTCTGAATAGTATGTGCTTTAACCATGCTCTGGACTGACTAGGAAGTCAGAAGCGATTTTATTTTCGGAAGGAGGAATCCTGGCTCGGTCAGTAGGTCCTTAAGCTCAGAATGCTCTATATTACTTTGAGTAACCGGGTCTTTAGTATATTAGTATAGGATTTTTGTCAGCCAATGGTGGAGATTGCTTAGTTTAATAAGGAAGCGCTGCAGCGCTTTAACAGCGCTTAGGCGCCTTAGGCAGTCTTAATTAAAATACTATAATACCTATTATTAAATTACTTACTTGTACAACTGTAATATTTATAATTCTTTAAATATTATAAAGTGTTAGTAAAAGTATTTAAAATTTTTATTATTTTTAGGAGCTTAAATTATTTATAAAAACCTTAATTAACTTTAGCTTTTAAATATTATTATATTTTTTATTTAATTTTTTAGTATTTATTTAATTAATAGCTTTTTTTTATATAATATTTAAAGGGCTTTATAATTATAAGCCCAGAGAACTACTTAATAATCTAGTTTATTAAATTTTTACTTACCTTTTTTAAACTTTTTAAAATTATTTATATTTTTTAAATACCAGCCCTTTTACCATATAAAGGCCTTTTATAATTAATTATTTTTTATATTTATACCTAAAAAGTTAAATATTAATTAAATCTTAACTTTTATACTTAATTTATTAATTTAAAAGTTATTATAAGCTTTATTATTAGTGCCTTAAATATAATAGTTCTTTTAAAGTTTAAAAAAAACTAGCTAGTATAGTATAGCTATATTTTATATACTATAATTATTATAAAAGTTTAAAAGTATTTTAATTTAAAAGTAACTTATTAAACTTTTTTTTAAGCTTTTTTAACTCCCTGGAGACAATACTAATAAAAAGGTATTTAAAATATTTAATTAAAAATAAAACTATATTAAGCATATTTTTTTAAAAATTTAAAATATTAATAATATTATATAAAAGTTAATTATACTTTTTATTTAATAATTTATTAAAAATAAGCTTATTATAAAGGTTTTTATTAAACTAAAGTAGTAACTAGCTTTTATTAATTTTAAAATTAAATTTAAGGCCTTTAATAGCTATATTACTATTTTTACTATATTAATTTAATAAAAAAAAGTTATTTAGTAGCTTTAAAATTATAAGTATATTTATTAAAAAATCTTACGCCTTAAATAACCTAAGGCTAATAATAAAATAGCTAATATAATATTTTTAAAAGTTATTAATAAATACTTAATGGCTTATGCGGAGCGCCATATAAATTAATTAAATTATAAAAAACCTAGTAAAATTAATTATTTTACCTTTATTTTTAAGTTTTAATAATATTTTTTTATTACTAATAGCTTTACTAAAACCTTTATAAAAGAAATAGCCTTTATTATACTTATTAAAAAGTTAAATTAGCCCTTTACTAGTAATTTAAATATTAAAAAATTCTTTATTAATAAACCTTTTTAAACATTAATTAATAATAAACTAATTTATTTTTATAAATACAAGCATGCTATAAAGTTTTATTATAACTTTATATATTTATGCTATTTAAAGTCCTATAAAATAAATAAAAAACTAAAAAAGAAGATTAGTAAAGCACTTAAAAAAAATAATAAATATAATAAAAAGCTTTAAAAATTAAAGGTTAAGGACACCAAGCTTTTTAAAAATAAAAAAAAAATACTAAAAATTAAAAAGCTTAGTAAAATAGCTAAGAAAACGCGTAGTTTATAGTTTTTAAAAAATATTATAAAGCAGCCCTAGTATTTAATATTTTAAGTAACTTAAAACTTTAAAATATCTTTATTTTTAATACTAGTGCCTTTATTTATATTTATAATAATTTTAGTTATTTTATTTTTTTAAATTACTTTTAAAATAATAATATTTAAGCTAAAAAATATAACTATAACTATATAAGGCTATAAATTAGTTTTTATTTATTTAAAAGCATTTAATAAAAGGATTATATTATTTATATTATTTACATTATATAAAATTATATATATTCTTAAATTTTACCTTAATATAATAATAGCAAGGCTTTTTTAAAAAGCTAAATATACCTAGAATTTTAACACCCTTATACTTAAAAATAATAAACTAGTTTTTTACCTTAAAAATTATTCCTTAGGCCTTTAAATAGTAAAACTAAAAAAAAGTTTTTTAAAGCTAAAAAAGGCTAACACTTTAACTTAATAAAAAGTTAAAACTTTAACTTAAAAAATATAGCTTTAAGAAAATCTTAAAGCTTTTTATTAATACCTAAAATATATTAATAATAAAGCACTTAAGTATTATTTTATAATAATATAAAAAGTTAATATTTTTAATTTTTAATTACCTAAATACTATAATACTTACCAGGTTAGTTAGGCTTTTTAATAAATATTTAAATAGCTTAAAAAACTAGTTACTAAGCTATTTATTTATATTTATACTAATTTTATTTTTATAAAGCTAGTAATAAATAAAGATTAATAAGTAACTTATTTTTATAATAAGTATTTTAAAATATACTAGGCCTATACTTACTAGCTTAAAAGTAATTATAAAAATATTATTAAGTAATTTATATAATTTATATAAAACTACCATAAAGTTACTTTTAAATTCCTATTTAATAATAATAAACCTACCTTTAATAATAATATTTTTAACTTTATTATTTTTAAAGGTATTTTTTAAAACTAGTCTGCTTTATACTTTTTATTTTAAAATAATATAGCTAAGCGCTTTAAAGGCATTTAAATTTAAAAAGCTAAAATAATAGTTTTATATAAAAATATTTTACTTAATATATAGCCCTAGGTTATAAAAGTAATAGCTTATATTAATAATTAAATTTTTATTAAAGTTATTAATTAAATAACTTTATAAAAAAAACTTACTAGTAAGAAGCCTTGTATTTTAAGTATTTAAATTATTAAAATTTTTTTTTAAGTAAGAAAATCCTAAAAAAGGCCTTTATAAAATAAAGCTAAGGGCCTTATTTAAATATTTTATAGGTTATTAAGCCTTAAATATTTAATAAATTTAATTTTCTTAAAATTAACATGTTAAAGCTTATAAAAATATTATTTTTAATAAATCCCGGCTTTATAATCCACAAGAACCATTTTTTATTATTAATATTTAAATTAATTTTTTTAAATTATTAGTTAAGGTTTTTAAACCACCCTTTTGCCGCCGCATTACTAAAAATATAAACTTAAATTTAAACTTTACTAAATTCTTTAAAAAAAAAAATAAGGGTATTCTAACAACAAGCAAGCTAAAAATAGTAAAAATATTTAAAAATAAAAATATTAAAAAAATAAAAATAAAAAAAGATTTAAATATAAAATTACACCTGGGCCTAATTTTAATAAAAATAAGGCTTTTAATTTATTAAAGGGGTTTTTACCTTTTTTTACTTTAGACCCTACTCTAGAACCTTAATATTATAAAATTCCTATATAAAAATTAATATTAGCTAGTTTTTTTAATAAATTATTATAGCTTTTATAACAGGTTACACGCTTTTAAACTCCTATTTATTTTATTACTAAAAATATAAAAAAAGGTAAAAAACTAAAAACTAAACTTGTTATTTTTTTTAAATAGTTAACTAAATAAAGGCTAACACCTTAAAATAATTAAGAAAACTTTAAATTTTATTTAAGTACTTTAACAAGCTACACAAGCTATATTATTACTATAATTACTTTTAATTTTACTTTTTATAACTATATATAATTTACCTTTTCCACTTTTTATTAAAACCCTAAAAAAACGCCTTTATTAAAATAAGTTACTACCTTTTTTTTAAGCACTAAAAGAATTTTAAAAATTATTTACTTAGGGATATATTTTTTAAAGCTATTAATTTTAAATTAAATAAATTTAAAAAAATGGGAGTATAAAAGGTAATTAATAAATAAAAAGTAAGTTTAAATAAGCTAATCCCCTTACTATAAGTATTTATATATAAGTTTAATATAAATAGCTACTTTATTAAGGCTAAAGCTTAAATTTATATATATAAAAATTTTAAATTAATTAATTATAAAAATAATTAAGTAGCTATAGCCTTTATTTATTTTTTTAAGTTATTATAATACTTATTACTTTTTTTAATATAAATATAAGGTAATATAATATTATTAATACCTTTTTTAATATAGGCCTTAATAAACTTATATACCTTTAATTTTTAAATAGTTATAAGTAAAAAAAAAAGCTTTTAAAAGCTTTTAAAGCTATTTATAGCCTTAAAATTTTTTTTTACTTTTAATAACTTAATTTAGGTATTATTTTATATAAATTTAGCTTTATTATAGTACTTAAAAAAATACCTTTTTATTAATAAGCTAATAATTTTTTTAATATATATAAATAATTTTATTTTTATAAACTTTTTTACTAAGCAAGGCCGCTTTATAATAACTACTTTTAAAAATTTTTTTTTAGTAAAGTATAAGCTTTAGTATCTTAGTAAAGCTAAATAATTTTTAAAAATTTAAATTTTTTAAAATAAGCCTTAGCGCAAGCTTTAGCTTTTTTAAAATTTTTATATTAAAGTTATTATAAATTAATTTTATTTAAATATTATAGTTTAACTATTTTTTACCCTATTTTTATTACCTAGCAAGTTTTATTTAAACTTTAATATAATTATTTCTAAAAATATTAAAAAAAATAAGGTTAAAAATTAAATTTATTAAATACGCTAGTACCCTTACTTATTTAAATATTTTTTATATAATAAGCTACTTATTAAAATA